GCATCAACTAGAAGCAGCCTCCCCACCTCCACCCGCACTGGCAAGTCAGGCTTTGGAGCCTCATCCGTTAGTGAATGGTTCTACATGCCAGCAGGGAGTTCAGAGGCATGGGCAGGACCTTTGGGTAACGATTGGGAAGACTGCCCACTGCCAGCTGGGCCGAAGCTAGCTGATGTCCATATTTATGCCAGGGCCCAGGCCTGTTCTGAGACTGACTGGCCAATAATTGAAACAAAAGCCAATAATCATTCCTCAATGGGGTATTTTAGATCAGGACCACAAGCACATCTGGATAGGGGGAGGGGAAAGCAGTCGGCGGCAAGGAAAGAGTGCCTGACTCCAGGAATCTGCATTTGACCTCAGGTGCAAAGAATTGAATTAACTATAATCCTTGGTTCATGACACATTCAACATTGATTTATGCACAGCCCACTTTGACTTTTTATTTAATCATCTACTAGGCTTTTAATAATGGGCAAATATCTTCAAACACATCCTCCCTTCTCCTACTAATGGTAAAGTACAGCCACAAACTCACACTAACCATACCGTTACCTCGCCAGTCACTTCATGTGAGTCAGGAGCCATCACTTGGATTTTCTTGTCAGATCATCTTATTGTAGCTACGTGTATTTCTTAAAAGTTTCCTTAATTTTAGCTATTTGTAAGTCTATAAAGGATTTCATGATGCATCTATTCGACTATTATTTGATTTAATATTCTTTTCATTACTAATTTTGCATGTCACTTATTTATTTGTCTGGACTCAGTATAATTTTTCACTTTGTGAATTCATTGGTTTATTCTTTCTCTCTCTGACTGTGGAGCATTTGGGCTTCTTCCAGTCTGTAGTAGCACGAACATGGTCACACCTGTCTCCTGTACTGATGTAAGTTTTTCTCTGGCTCTCACACACAGGAGTAAAATCATTGGGCCACAAGAAAGGTAAATGCTCAACTTTAAGAAATAGTGATGCCAAAGATCTTTCCATTCTGACTGCATTGCCTATAGACTGCAAGATGACTATGGCCCCTTCCTAGCCTCCTCAACTTTTTCTCATTTTATACCAGCTTTACCAAAATGCTTAATTCAGGTTTGGCCTGATAACTAAGCAGCATCTCAGATAAATTCTTTCACATGGAAGAGAAAAGTTCTTGTCGGACACACAGTTTATAGGAAGTGCATCCAAGCAGATCAGTCTCCCACCTAGATGCAGACACTGGCCAGGCTAGTCCAAGGGAAAGGAACTGTCTAAAAGCTGCTTTGGCAAATACACAATATGAAAAGGGATTAAGGAAGAGCTTGCTCAGTCCTCCCCAGTCTTCTCTCATGTGTATTAATTTTTAAACAAATTAAGCAACCAATAACAGGTTAGAGGAGAGCAGGGCTCCAGATTAGCCCTCACTATACAGTTTAGGTCACCTCAATAAATCTGAACAGAGTGCTTTACAGTGGGGTAAGGACACTGACAAGATCTCTACTCTTCCCTCCAAAGGTCTGCAAAGTTTGCTCCTGTAATCAGCCAGGATTAGCCATGAAGAAGCCCAGAGGTAACTTCCTGCTGAGAAAACGGAGATGCTGGCCTGGTAGTACAACTTTCACTGTAGAAGGTTAAAGGTAGAATTAAAGAGGACCAACATGGAAGTTGTTCAAAGGTGAGATTTATGGATTCTAATCAAACATTAGAAATGCGTGAAGAGTTCTTAGAAAGCAATGTTAGAGCTGGGCTTGAAAACAAATCAAGTAACCAAGAGTGGTGAGAACAAAGAAAGAATATACTTAAAACAATTGTGAAATTAATTTGAGTGAGATCTCTCAATCTTCTCATTTCCTCCGATTTCTCAAACTTCTTAACTCTTTAATCCTGCCTCTGGTCATGGTAAAGCATTAAAAAGTAGAATCTACGGACCACCACTACACATCCATTATCCGTATTCATTATCCGTATTCATGTGGTCATTCCACAAAGGCCAAGAGAGTAAATCCCTACCCTACCCTAAGTTCTGGGAATGCAAGACAAGATAGACTCAGTCCCTGGCCTCACCTCACTTCCTATCTTCAATGGCCGATGGAGGATTAAACAGAGACAGACAGCCTCGTTGGCCTGACCATCAGCCAGATTGCATCGGCCCAGGAAAGCCCTCCCCTGCATCCTCCCCTGAAGTACTTTCAGTAAATTGTGCAGGATTAAAGAAATGGCTGTCTGCTCTGTAATTAAAAGAATCCTGACCACCAGCCCAGGTAGCCAAGCGGCTGCTCAGGGCTGAAAGACCCCAAAATCAGGTGCTTCCTCCATAATAGCCTCCAATCTGATACTTGATAGCTGCTGGCTTCCAGAGTCAAACAAATGTCAGGACTTTTATGAAGGAAGGCAGGAAGCAAATAAGGGGGCAAGCATTGGGGTCCAGGCCTCAGGGGAGCTCAATTAGTGAGCCAGCTAAAGTTAAACCAAGAGGGCATGTTCTTGGTTTCCTAGAAAGCTAACTGAAAAAGATGCCAATCTTTAAGCCTCTGTCACTCAAAAGATTAACAGAAGAGATCTAGGGGTGCCCAAGGGGAATTCTGCAACAAGCCAGATGTTTTTGTTCTTCTGTATATTTCTGGGGCCACCAAGAAGCCATAGAAGAGACCCGGAGTCCTTTGAGATGCAGTGAAGTTCAAACATTACTCTTTATTGACATGGACAGCAAAAAATACTGTTAACACTTTCTCTGTAGACCTGTCTGATGCCTCTAGGTTGAGGGTTTTCTCATAGAGTCATCTGCTCCTTTAACAGGAATGGCTTGCTGGACGAACACTCCCTGCAGCTAGCTGCTGGGTTGTGTAGAAAGCACACAACCTCTAAGCCCACTTAAACTAGGATTTGGCTCCCAAGGCCACATTTAAGCACCACCAGTGATTCGAGCAAGTCCCCATTAGCCTGTTTCATTTCCTTTTCCACCAAAAAAAAATTTATCCTCCCATTCTTTAAGTACAAGAGGTCAGAGAAGTGACCAGACCAAATGTGCATAGAGTGTAGCTCTTCTTGCCTACAGTGTACATAACAACTACTTACTCAAGGTAACTACTTACTCAAGATAGCAAATTCCCCTTTGTACTTTCTCAACACATGCATCTGCTCATGTGTGCACATGTGTGTGTGAGAGAAAGCAAAAGAATGTGAAAAACAGAAAGAGGTAGCTGGGGTATACCCAAGCCTGTTTATAGTTTCTGCTTATACTCCAGCACTTCTATGAAATTACTAAACTAAAGAAGTTGCAAGGAAACCTTAACCTAAGGTTTCCCCTCAGGTCCCTCGCTTTCCCCTAAGAGGTGCTTCCTCCAATTTCAGGAGGCAGGGAAGCAGAGCCATATGGCTTGAGACGTTAGACATGCCCAGCAGCAAAGGAGTCCCCCACCATTTGTCAGAGGGCCTCTCTCCTCTCGACCCTCCTGTGGACCGTCCTGTGGGCGGGCATTCAGATTTCAGTCAGGGTGCTCTGGTCTGCGTCTCTGTCTTGACTGTTCCTAATTATTGGAGGGAACGCTATGGCTCGCCTGACCTCGGAGTTTAAGAGCTCTGAGTCCTAATATCAAACCAAGCAGCTTCATTTAAAAGGCATCCTCATCTGCATCCATAAAAGTCACTCCCAGAGCCCTGACTTGCCTGGGCTCTGGGAATGCCTGCTGTCGAGGATTTATGACACGCCCTGGATCTAATCTGCCGCACTTTAACTGTTGCACATCTGGCCATAAAAGCAAGGGCTGGCCCAATACGGGACAAACACTTTTCTTTCCTAAGTGGCTGCAAATCTGATCTCACAGCGATAGCTGGGATCGGATGTAATCACCTCTGCATCTGGGCAGTCACGCATGTTAGCAGTCATTAAGGCTCTTCAGGCTTTTCGAGGCTGTTCCTCCACACACGACAGCTATAAAGAAGATTCTCGTGTAGCAAAATCTGTGAATAAAGAAGCTGCGGTCTGAACAGGTGGTAATGGGGCTAGCAAACCATCCAGGAAATAGGGCCGATGGACAGCCAGGAGAGACAGCAGCAGCTGGCTGAGGCAGCCAACTTCCTTCTCAAACATCCTGGTTTACCTTCAGAAGGACTAGGCAAGCAGGTACCCTGACAGTTGACCTACGCGATGCGTGGCCAGAGATGGTCTGGATTAAGTGTGACCAAGTGAACCACGAGGTGGTTTAATAGTACATTTTTAAAGCAGTGAAATTCTTTATTAGACCAATTGAAGGGTGTTGGGGACAGCAATAATCTAGACCAGAAATAAGTACAACCATGTCGATTCCAGGAGAGTTTACAATGCCCTGGACAGCCTGTCCTGTGCACAGAATTGGCACGTTACACGTCTTTCAGAAACTCCAATCAGACCAAGGTTCAACAAGCAGTCCAACCTCCCAGCACTGCACGGGGGGGAAGAGATCCTCCAACACCGTGCAGCTCTTCGCAAGCTCTCCGCAGCCCCCCATCTCTGCCCCTCCTCCACGGCCGTGCCGGCAGGAGGGAGCATTAAAATTATCTGCTGCAGGTTTTACAAGCAGCGATCGCTTTTTAAAACAACAACAACACAAAGTCCTTGTGTGGCTCGCGGGTAACCTAAAACTCTCCAGGCAGAGCTCCCCCCTCCCACGCCCCCTCCGCTTGCCAAGAGCGCCAGCCCGCCGGGACCGGCGCAGCGCAAGACCGCAGGGAAGCCCGACTTCAGCGAGCTTCCCCCGACGCAGGAGGCGCCTTCGGGGTCCTGGTGCAAAATGCGGTGGGAGAAGCAGCTGGGAAAGGAAACCCACCAATGACAGTTGGGGTGAGGGTTGGTGTTGCAAAGAGAGGTAGGCAACGGAGCGATTTTGATTCAGCAACTTCTGCAAAAAGCCTGCAGGGGACGGAGTCGTGGCTGAGGAGGCGGTGACCTGACACCTCCCTTCCCCCTCCTCACGCGCCCGCAGGAGCCGCCCGGCGACCTCGGCTCCCTCCGCAGGTGGGCGCGCGTCTGGAGCGCACTTACCCTGGGGCCCGTGGTGCGGTGGCCGCGAGCCGGGGACAGCTGCACCAGCACGAGCAGCAAGTGGGGCGTGAGCAGGCGGACGCAGCGCGCGGGGAGCATGGTGCCAGCCGGGCCGGGGTCGCGGGCGGGCGGGCGGGGCGGGGCGGCGCGCACACCGCGCCTGCCTTCCTGCCTGGCTCGGCTCGGGGGCCCTCGCGGCGGCGGGTCTGCAGCGGCGGCTGGCGGGGGCTGCGGCCGGACAACACGGGCATGAACGGCGACGGCCGGCCGGGGGCTGGAGCGCGAGCCTGTGCTCTGCGCACGGCGTCCGCTGCGCTCGGGGGCCGCAGGGCAGCAGGTTGGACGCCGGAGTCCGGGCCATGGGAATTCCCGTTATAAACCCCCCGGAGGGGCGGGGCGGGCCGGCCTGCCTGATGGACGGGCCCAGCGGCCTGTAGCTGCCGACGCGCTGGCAGGTGAAAGCCAATGGGAGAGGGCCTAGAGGGGCGGCTCGTTGTCAGCCCCCACTGCGGAGAGACACTCGTTTGCTCCGCCCGAGTGGACTCCAGGAGAGGTTGGGATAAAGAGTAACTTTCTCTAGACTCTTCTGCCTGAGGAAGCCTGAACGAGTTCCAGCAGCCTTAAACCCACCCGAATGCTCACCTGGCTGGCAAGGCAGCCTGGCTCCTGTCGTTTTTCCGCTCAAGTGTGTAGGCTGTCAGAACAGCTCCCCGCGAGAGGCAGGGAAAGCACTTCTAGTCGCATTTTTTCAGATCGCTACACGAGGGCTGTGTGAGGCACTGAGAAATCTATTTCCCGGCTGCAGCAACACCAAGGGCAATGAGAAGGTCGCCAGGTGACCCGCGCAGGGTGGGCTGTGACAGCATCGAAAGTGAGGAGTGGGAGCCCTCGCTGCTGTCCAACAAGTTCCCTGGGTGTGACACCTGAGTGCCACAGCGGCTGCCCCAAGAGGTCTCGAGGGGACAAGATGAAAAATCACCCGACTGGAACCCAGGAATCCTGGCTCCCCACTCTGAGCTGCCAGGCAACAGCTCCCCTGAGGCCTCACACCCTGGGAAAGGGACTCAGAGGGGCCCTGATCCCCTGTGCGGAGGAGGAAAAGACTGGTGGAGAAGGTGGTAGGCTGTGGGAGCAGAGATCCCAGAGATGGGTCAGAGGGGGGCAGCTGTCTCCCGGGTGCTTAACTCCATGGGGAGGAGAGCCATGATTATCTTTTACACGCAGCACAGCCCATAGCGCTTTGCTTCCACGGGTGCCGGGCTTGCTCCAGAGGAGAGGAGAGGGTTCTCTAATGAGACTGCAAGCCAGTGTCTCTTAGCCTCTCCTCCCTGTCGGGCCTGAGAGGTCTTGACAAAGATTAGCTCTGCTCCCTGGGGCTTCGGCATTGGATCATATGAACAAGCTTCCCACCGACTCCAGTGTTCAGCTTTATCACCCCCATACTGGCCCAATCGGCCACCAGGCTATGGCCAGTTGCTCTTCTAAATAGCAAGCCTGGCTGAATGCACTGCTCCCTGCTTACAGGCTCTATCCCTCCCCACCGTCCTCAGACAGAAGAGCCCAGACCGGTGCTGGAACAGGAACAAAGTATATGTGGTTCTCCCAACAAACATTTAGAACACCTCCAAAAGAATTCTCATCTTCCTCACTGAAATTAGTTCAGTGGTCAAACTGTGGAGTTCCACAGCTGGAGTGAAATCCTGGGTCTGCCACCTAGTGGTCTAACCTTGAATAAGAATTTACTTGGTACTGAGGTGCGATTTTCCCTTCTGTGAAATGGGGATAAAAAAAAACTGTATGCCTGCCTGAACTGTAGCCAGGATTAAAGGAGATGGAGCATGTAAAGCCTTTAGAATGGTCAAATTACAAATACTTCCCTCTGGCATTCACACCAATGTTTCCTCTCATTCCCCCTCCGAATGATCTTGTAAAGTAGAGCAGAGGTTCCTACCTAGAGATAGGTAAATTACAGAAGTAATCCATACAGCAAGGATGGAAGGTGAGGATGCCAGGCTGAAGTTTAGAAGAAATAATGCTCTTAGAGATCTTTAGAATAAGAATTTGTCTGAATCCGGGGCTGGGGATTTAGCTCAGCGGCATAAGCACCTGCCTTGCAAGCAGGCGGTCGTGAGTTCGATTCCCGGTACCGATAAAAATGAAAAAGACAAAAAAATAAAAAATAAAAAAAAAGAATTTGTCTGAATCCATCAGAAGTGTTTATCTATTTGACAAAATGTGGGGAAGGCCTCCCAGAAATGAAAGACAGAGTCTAATTTTAGTTAAGAAACAGCCTGTGCAATAATAGACTATCCCTGGGCTTAGAGATGAAGGACTATCCCCGGGAGACAGAGGACTATCCCTGTGCAATAGACTATTCCTGGGCTTAGAGATGGAGGACTACTCCAGGCCTCTGACATCACTGTCACCTCTATGAAAGCTGATAATGTCTTCACAAAATTGCTGGGAACAAAAATGAGATGAGCCATAGGAAAATGTCCTTCAGGGGTTAAATTTGTATTTGAAATCCTTAGGAAGATAATTTGCCAGACACATTAATGTGTACTCAGAAGCAGGTCATCTCAAAGCAGGTCTTGTTTTGGAAGACAGGGCATCAGTGTCCTGGAAGAGTTTAAATGACTTTTTCTGTGTTGTGAGCAGCTTTTAAAAATTGCCCAAGTCCTTCAGATGAGCGTGGTCACTGGGAGAAAAGGGACTAGGGGTGTGCAGCTGGCCACCAGCAGAGCTGAGGCCATTCTGACCTGCTCCGCTTGGAGCTGTCTGGCTCTGGAAGTAGCTGTGTGAGTGAACAAGAGCAGATGTGGATGCTGCAATCTGGGGAGCCAGGAGGACTCACTGTGTGGCTGGGCATGGCGAGGAGGCACTGCTCACCAAGGCACGTCAGAACCTGCAGCAGCAGCAGCAGCAAGAGAAGATTCATTCAATGCCTGCATTTGTTCTCCATCTTCGAGGATTCCTTCACCACCCCAGCTGCTCTGTCCCCTCCCTCCAACTGCTAAAGAAAGACAGCCACCACCGTGTCCACCAGGCACCCACCCCATCAATGTGCAGTGCTCTGGTGCCCTGCAGTCCAGGGGCTGCAGCCCCTGGCCTTTTGGTCTCCCAGGGAAGCAGTCTATAGTCTTGATGATGGCACCAATGGCTTACCCTCTTCACTGAGATGTATACTGGTCACCCTCACAACTGGTCACCATCAGCCATGGAGAACCACAGGAATCTGAGGTCACTCTGCCCTTGGGGAGGCTGTAACTTCCAAGGAATCCCTAGGTACATAGTGGTAAAGCACAGTGTGTGTTCCCACCAGGTGAGGGCCAGGGCATCATCACAGCCTCTAAGAGCATGTCATCTGTGATAGCTGGTTTTACGTGTCAGCCAGACTGCACCATGGGGGGCACAGATATTTGGCCAAACATTCTGGGTCTGTCTGTGATTGTGTTTTTGAATGAGGCTAATGTTTGTATCAGTAGATTGAATATAGCAGAATATATCTTCCCTAGGTGAGTGACCTTGTCAAATCAGTGGAAGGCCTGAATAGAACAGAAAAATTGATCCTTCTGAGGAGACTTCTGCCAAACTGACAACAGTCTCCTGTTAGCTCCTTTTGAAATTTGTATAACCATTTTTGTTGCTTTTAAAATAAAAAAATAGACTCAGTCCAAAAGTGGGCATCTGAAATGAATAGTCATTTCTTAGAAGAAGTATAAATGGCAAATAAATACATGAAAAATGTTCAGCATCACTGATCACTCATGAGATGCAAATTAAAACAATGCTGAGATTCAATCTCAATCCAGGAAAAATAGCTATCATCAAGACATTAACCAATAGCAAATACTAGAGGACTGTGGGGAAAAGGGAACCTTCTCCACTGGTGATGGGAGTGTAGATTGGGGCAACCACTGTGGGAATCAGTGTGGAGATTCCTCAAAAAAAACTAGGGCCAGAAGTCCCATTTGATCCAGCCATTCCCTTCTGGGTATCCTTCCAAAACAATTAAAAGCATCATACCACAACAATATGTGTACATCCATATTTATAGCCCCACAGTTTGTAGTCACCAAATCTTGGAAACAACCCAAATGCCCATCAACATCAACAAATGGATAAAAAAGATGTGGCTTTTTAAAAAATACAATGGAGTACTACTCAGTCATAAAGAAGGATAAACTTGAGACATTTCTGGGTAAACAGATACACCTTGAGACCACACTTATAAGTGAAATAAATTGGACACATAAATATCACATTGTCTCTCTGGTGTGAGAAACTGAAAATGCAAAATAAGGACCAAAATGTACAATAAATACTGTAAAATAGGAAGTATCTGTTCAAGGGAAAGGAGGATGGGGGGAAGGTGAAAGGGAAAAGCAAATAATGAGGGAAAAAGGATAGATGGAAACAGAGTTTTGTAAATAAAGAGGGAAAGAGGGGTTGAAATTGGGGTTGGGAAATGGAGAAAAAAGAGGAACCAAGATATCACTTACAGGCGCAAATTCCCTGTGATAAATGTGATCATTATGCATATCAAATTGTACCAATAAACTAAATTATATTTTTAAAAACCTCTCCCTTGTGAATGTAATCATTATATATTGCAAACATATGCTGATAGAAGTCAAAAGGGGGAAAAAAACACAAAGCTCTCCCATGGAGCCGTTTCCAAATCCCAAATTCCAAAGTGTTCTTTAAATAATGGTTTCATACCTTATCTCTGCCACATCCTTCTCCAGTTCAAGGATCTCCGTTTTTCTGTTTTTAATCTTTTTCCTCCAATAAAGGCAGGACAGGTGGTCAAAATATTCAGTGAATGTTTGTTATTTTAAAATGTGTCACAGCAAAAGACACTGCCATTAATACCCCCCTAAAAAAACCTTCCCCTCATTTCAAGCATACTTCTCCCATCATTCTTGCCCCTTTCTGAAGCAGGTCTGGACGTCCTCTTTCTTGAGTGTCTTTACAAGACATGATTAAAAATGCAGTGCCCGTGGACGCAGAGTGCCATCCAAGGGAAAAGCGGGCTCATGGAAACGTCACAGGTGTCTTGGTCCACCTTGCTCACCACAAAATGGCACTGCATGACTTCCAGCTCGTCCCTAAAGTCAGAATCGACCATCGAAGGTAAATGTTTTTAAATGATTCAGGACACTGAGACAGCCAAGGACAGTGCAACTAAAGACACCGAGGAAAAAGGGCTTCTAGAGCTGCTTCAGACAGTGCCAGTTGGGATGGGAAACCTATGTTTGAAATGACAGGGAGTGTTTTGAAGGGGATGTGTGAAAGTATGTTTTTTACTACAATAAGTTATACATTATACTGTAAGAAAGGTATACATTACACTGTAATAATTTAAACATTCT